TTCAGTCGGTTCTTGCCCCAAAGGTCAGAACCTCTGCTCGCGCGCCGTCTGCGTCGTATTTTCGAGTGCAACACAACTCACTATTATTATTGGCAAGAGTAGTTGAAGGATACTATATTTTTACTCAAAACCTCAATATTTAAGTTTCCTTCAATCTCCTTTGCTATCATCACCTCTAGTCCACTCACTCTTGACAACCTAATACTACCTTTGATAGAAAAGTAAACTCAAAAAATAAATTGTGAAAAGGATCGATGAAACCTGAAGATCAGCTTCAAGGCGTCGGAGAACGATGGCAGGGATGAGTCCTTTGAGACCACCTACATCAATACTGTGAATGGTGACAATATTTCCATGAGAGGGTGGTGGAAGCTTTGGAATCTCACTAACACACAACAGCAAGTAAAATGCCATTGCCTTTGTAATTAAGAAAGCTCAATTAAGGATGCTTCAAGGATGTGGAGGCTATTTAAAGAGGCCATGCATTCCAAGAAGAAATGAAACTTTATGAATAAATAATATTTAGGGCCTCTTAATGCTCTTCATAAATCTATTTTATTGCAAATGTTCCTCTCTCTTTCTCTTTACCGTGTTGTGATTACTGTGATTGATGGATTTAATTGAGGATAAAATAAAAACATTTTAATAATTGGTATGTATAAAGTCTTATAAAAAGCAATGAAATGGGAAAAATATTCAAAGTCTTGCAGGCCACATTCCAAATCACTTCAGCATCCAAAAAATGCTTTGTTCTGATAATCTTCCACCATGTGACCTCTGTCGTGTCGTGAATGTCCCTCTGCTGTATATTTATTTCATTCCTCCATACCCTGAAAAATTTGGAGGTATTATCATTTCTTGTCCATACTAATTCCAACTTCTACTGTGTTAGACTATTATTATGAATGATGGCTTCACAGGTACATCGAGAATACTTTTAATATATTTATTTAACATATGACTGCATGTATCAAGATTCACCCCAGGATAAGTTATTCAACTCCCTTACATGATGTCATTTGGACGCTATTTGGTCTAGTGAGTTGTGGCTTCATAGGTTATATGGAAGTTGTCGGGGAGTAATTATTTTTTCATAGTTACATTAACTTAAATTAATGAACCTCATAACATATTTTAAATAGAGTAAACATTTTTTGATCAAACATATAAAAACATCTTAAAATTTACCAGTTTTGACTATTATTAAAGAATAAACCTTTTTAGGAAATTAAATATATAGAACATATTTTTAATATATATAGTTTTGACTATCGAATACAGGAAATTAATTTGTATAGCTCAGTTATTATATTTTAGTCATATTCTTTTTTATCTCCAAATATTTCAATAAAATAAACTTATGAATTCAATGGAATTGAATGTAGGTTTTTTTAATTATCTAATGCTATTCATTGTAAACATTTGAAAAATTATTTGTTAAATCGCACATATCTCCCTTGAGGTATGTATAGATAACTACCCTAAACATTAAATTATATGCAAATAATTAAATCCCTGATTATATTATATTCTTTTAGTAAAATAATGGATAAATTAATATAAAGTTTCCAATGATTTATGGTAAAGTTTTAAATATTAGTGAGGTTGTATGAATGCGTGCACATAACTCAAACTTCAAGGATTACGTATAATTTTGCCAAAATTATTGGTAACAATGAAAAATGTTATAAATAAATAGGAAATTTAATGGATAAAAAACATAGGATATAAAAGCAATTTTAATTTGTAAATTCTGATCTTGAGTATTGGAGTTCCCTGTTTAATAATTCTACACTTAATTGATTCGTAGATCTCGTGGTTAATTGAACAGCATTATCCCATCAAAGGAATTAATTCTTTTACACAGTCGATTTCAGAGTATTTACAAAAATATTTCAAAATATTTGTCTCTTCTGGAAAAAATTGTTTCATGCATGCGTGTGACTCTCTCTGCTCCTCTTTTACGTTATTGTATTTTATAAGAATCAAGAAAAATCTCAAATTTTATTAACTTCTTAAAATTTAATAAGTAGAGACTTTACCCCAAACAAGGACAAAAAGAATTTTCTTAATAACGTTTTTTAACATTGAATGAGGGTAAAAAGATAAAGGTAAACATAAAAAAAATGATAAAATGTTTTATAAATAAGATTTAAAATTTTTTCTTCTCTCTCTATCCTAAAAAAAAAAATACCCGAGGAGTATAGTATTTCAGTTTTGGGCAAGCTTTTTATTCTCTGCAATAATCCAAAACTCAGACGTGGGATTAACGACATTTGACTTAGGAGACTTGTGTGCCCCACAAGACGACTCTTGTTTTCCGTTGAAAGAAATATTATAGAAAAAGATTACAAACATAATTTTTTTCTTTTGGATGAAGGAAATGTTAGAATATTTATTTATTTATGAATTAATATTAATTAATAAGCCCAATCAGATTAGTCTTTATTATCTTATGTGGACCTGATAGGTGGATCACAAAAGTGAGCCCAATGGGCAGAGGCCCAACCCACAGCCCAGTAGCTGTCAGTTATTCCCTATCTCTTAACTGACTGAGTAAGAGATAATGCAATATTTTTTTATTTAATTATTAAATGAAGCGGTTATTGATCTGATCCTTATAAGCCGATCAGTCGATAACCGCATAGACACAACTCATTTTCTACTACTTTATTATCTCTGCACTCTCTGAAGACTCTGAGAACCTGTGAGTTGTGCACCTGTCTACACTCAAGATAATCGAGCCTTCTCAAGTGTTCATGGATTTTTCAGGTACGCATACATTACCATACTTATTCATATGCATTGAGATATACAAAATTCAACACGTGGCATCAGAGCCTGGTTACCATGGTTTGGAAACCCGGACCGAACCGACTAGGTTAACTCGAAAACTGGCTACCCGATCCCTTGTCCGGTTTGGGTTTATGGCTAAACCAGTGTGAGGTTGACCCGAATTAATCCGGTCAACCTGGGTTCAACTCTGTATGAACCGGACAACCCGATGGGTTGACTGGGTTAATCGGGTTGATTTTTTTTTTTCAAGTTGAACCCCCAAAATGACGTCGTTTTGGGGAAATTTTTTTTTTCAAGCCCTGCCGGCCTGCCCTGACGAAATGAAAGAAAAATAGCGACTCAAGAAATGAGGAACAGGTAATAGCCGAACAGGGTTCGCCTTCGCCAGTCACCACTTCGCTGAGGCTTCAAAAAAAAAGGGCACGGCACGAGCATCAGATTCAGATCAGCATCAGCATCACTCAGTCGCCCACTCATCTTTGCCACATCGCTGCCTCAGAATCAGAATATCAGATCTGAGATCACTGATCACTTAGTCATCTGCGTCGTCTCTTCCTCTCTCGTCCACTCACTCAGTCACCCTCATGCTCTGTCTCCGACCTCTGTCTCTTTTCCAGTTCTCCTCTTCTTTAATCGATCTAAAATTAGAGGCAGAGCACGCACAGGAGACACATTTCATTGTCCCGATCCGTAATTCTTCACTTCTTCTTGACAGCGTTGAGCATTCAGCATCAGCCCATTACAGTGGTTCAGCAGCTCGTGCTCGACTTTCAGCATCAGGTCAGTGTCAGTTTCACTGTATCTCGTGCTGGACTTTGTTTTTATTTCTTGGTTCAGCTCCTGATTATTGTTTTTTTGCCTAATTGTTGTTTCTTGAACTATATTGCTTTTGCAGCTAAGTAAGCTGATTGCTTTCTTGAACTATATTTGCTAGAAGTTTTTGTAGATTGGTCAGGCTTCACTGTAGGATCTGTTTCATAATAGATCACTGGGAGATATCAGATGTGCTTGTCTTACGTAAAAATAATGTATGATTGAGAACAGATTTAAAGATATTCTAAATTTGAGTTCTGAATTTTGAATGTAAAGTATCAGATTATGTCGCCCTTGCATCCCATCATTTCACCTTTATCTTTGTTTTCCTATGGTGTTGTGATTGGTTTCTTACTGCCTCCGTGACACACACTATAGATGATTGTATGATTGAGAACAAATTTAAAGATTTTTCTCGTGATTGTTGTCTCTTTTTGTTATTATTGTTTTTAGATATGATTCAACTTGCCTCTTCTTATGCCTAGTTGTTTCTCGATTCAGCTTTATTGCTAATTTATTATTTGAATTTTGCATTTGTGTTAAAAAATAAAATTGAAGCTTTGTCTTTAGCTTGCAGAATAAAATATAATCATTGTATTGATTATGGATATTGGAAGTAGTCCTAGTGATAGAAATGAGAATCTTACCTCCAATTCCAATAATCCCCATCCTAGTGGTAATGACTCAACATGTGAGGCCCTATTTATGCGTGGAAAAATTGATCCTACTTAGGCACATGTTGCCTTAAGAAAAGAGGGCAAGAAAATATATATATACTTGCCTTTATTGTGCGTCAAGTTATGGAGGAGGTGGGATTAACAAAATGAAGCAACATCTTGCTGGTGTGAGTGGTCAAGTAGCTTCTTGTAAGAAAGTTCCTCATGATGTACGTCACAGGATGGTTGAGTCTTTGAAAGGTTGGAGAAAAAGGAAGGTTGATGATAGAAAAGAATAAGAACAAGAACAAGAACAAGTAGACATTGGGGACCTCAAAACTAATGATCCAATTGCTCCTAGTCCAATTAAGACAGTCCTTGAGAGAAGTGCCAATAAGAGGCAAGCTTCTACTGCTTCAGTTGAGAATTATTTTGCCCCTAGGACAACTCCTGGTTCCCAACCTAGCATCAAGAGTGTGCTTGCAACAAAAGAAGCACAATACAATGCAAAAATGACTATTGCTGAATGGGCTATCGTCAATTGTATTCCATTTAATGCATTAGATTTCCCTTTATTTCAAAAAGCCATAAATGCTATTGCTTCAATTAGGTCGGGATTCAAGGCCCCTAATGCTTATGAATTTAGAATCAATTTGTTGATAGATTAGAAAAAAGGAATGTCAATTACTTATTGAGAGTCATCGAGCTAAATAGAAAAACACTGGATGTACACTCATGGCTGATGGTTGGACAGATGTGAGGCAGCAAACTTTGATTAATTTCTTAGTCTATTCTACATATGGAATGGTTTTTGTGAAATCTGTTGATGCTTCAGATTTGGTAAAAGATGCTAGGACTTTGTTCTCGTTGTTCTGTGAAGTGATTGAGTGGGTTGGTCCCAAGAACATTATTCACGTGGTGATTGATAATGCTGCAAATTATGTAGCATGTGGCAAGTTGATTAAGGAAAAATATAAAAACATTTATTAGTCACCTTGTGCTACACATTGTTTGAACCTTACTTTAAAAGATATAGCAAGCTTAGACAATGTGTCAACACTTACCAATAAGGCATCAAAGATAACTATTTTTGTTTATAATCATATGATCTTCTTGTCATGGCTTAGGAAAAGACTAGGTTGGAAAGAAATTGTGCATCCTGGTGCAACAAGATTTGCTACTACATTTATCACGTTACATAGCATATATATGCATAAGCATGACTTGCAAGCTTTGGTGATTGATAAGCACTTTGTAGATCACAAATTGTCAAAGACTCAAGCTGGAATAATTGTTACTACCATCATATTAGATAATGGCTTTTGGGGTGATTGCTTAGAAATTATGAAGGTTGTATCTCCTCTTATAAAGTTGTTGAGAATTGTGGATTCATATGAGAAGCCTTCTTTGCCTTATGTTTATGAAGGCATGCAAAGGGAAAAAAAGGCAATCAAGGCAACATTCAATGATAAGAAATATTATTACAAGCTTTACACAAACATTATTCAAGCTCGATGGGATAAGTACTTTAAGACAAATCTTCATGCAGTGCCGTATTTGTTGAATCCTGCATTCTTGTATGATGAGAACTTTATTCACAAGAGAAGGTTAATGGATGCAATGCTTGACGTGTTTGAGTCCAATGAAAGTGAAGAAATTGATTATATTGTGATGATGAAGCAGTTAAGTTTGTATTGTGATCGTAAAGAGTCTTTTGACAAAACTTCATGTCAGAGAGCAGCCCAGAAATTAGATCCTTATGAGTATTCATATTTATTATTTAACATGTCCATGGTAATTTTAGTTATTATATAATTAACATCTAACTAAATGTTTTTTATTTACAGATGAATGGTGGTCATTTTATAGAGGTCTATTCCAGAATTGCAAACTCTTGCAATGCACATTCTTAGCCAAACTTCTTCTTCTTCTAGCTGTGAAAGAAATTGGAGTTTGTTTGAACGCATCCATAATAAAAGACAAAATATATTACAACATCAAAGATTGAATGATTTAGTTTTTACAAATTATAATTTGCGATTGAAGCATAAGTAAAAATTAGAGTTTTGAATGGCAATGCTTTTATATGTGATGTTTCTTTTCTTTTCTTCTTATTAGTTTATTTTTAATGGCATGGATAGATTATTGTTATCTTAACATTTAATATGTAGTTTTATGTGCTATTATGGGGAGATGGGTAGCATAACAAATTCAAAATGCATGATGCACAAGGAAGGGATTACATGTGCATGTACATATTCATATGTTTTGTGTGCGTCTCAGTTTCATGATGCTGTATTTTTTTTATTGTTTATCATATTTAATTGCTTTATTTTTTTTTCAAGGAGACAATTGAGGAAAAATAAAAGTTATGATCCCACTGATTATGAATCAATTGATAAAGTTGACTTTTGGGTGGCTGAAGAAGAGGAAGAGCTAGCTCCTGAGTTTGATTCTCATGATGTTACAAATCTTGAAAGTTTCATTCACAATGAAACCACAGCTGCTCCATCAACCTAGAGAGGGATCATGAAGGTTTATTAAATCTACTATCATGTCTAATACAAGTATATGAATTTCTTTCTTAAAATGCCATTCATTAGTATTAATCTTTGTTTATTGTAGGTGATGAATATATGAATGTTCTAGAGTCCCCACCTTTGCCTGATGTTGCTAGTGGTTCTGGTTTTTCTCATTCAACTCCGAATGTCTCAATGCCCGGAGATTTGAATGAAGTTAATGATGATTTTGGTATTGGTGAATATTAGTTTTAGACTTTTAGACTTTTTAATGATTGACGGGTTGTAATTATAAGGAATTAAGGATTGATATTTGAAGTGTTGTATTTTATTATTGTTGGACTTTTGAGTGGTTGGATTTAGTTGACTTTTTTATAATTAATATCTTTTTATTTAAATTGTATTATTTTAATTATGACCGGTTTGTCATTGGTTCAACCCCCGGTTAAACCACTAACCCATGACCCAATGTCGTGACTGGTTCAATGACCGGTCCGATTTTACATACCTTGCTGGTTACAAATATCAATCTGTATGTCTCAATTCATTATTTATATTATACATACGTTATGAATTAATAAAATTCATTTATGAGCATGTTCAGATTTTATTAATGTGCTTAATAATTTCCTTTCCATTATTCTTTACCGCGTATGAGATTTACTATGTAATTGTGTATTGCCATGTGACTTTCTTCCTTCTCTTCCCTTTCATTTTTTTTCAACACCGAAGACGGGACGGAATTTAGTGCTTCTGCCGTTAGGTCGTCAAAAACGAAGCTACCGATGTGTTGTCTGCAACTTCATTCTTCGTCGCTACTCGCCTACTCCAGGTCGCCAGTGACGTCCTCCCCTCTTCCTCCGTCTACGGATTCGTTCTTCACCATTGCTCGCCTGCTCCAAGTCGCCGGGACTTCCTCCCCTCTTCCTCATCTCCTACACAGCTGGACAGACCCAGGGACAGGGTCAATAACCGAATCCTAAGGATCTGCTTCCATGAGTTTTGGGCCCATTTTCATATGGGCCCAAATCTTTGATTCAAAAAAACAAGGGTGGAGGCATGAACAGGGTCAGAAACCGGATCCTATAGATCCGGTTTCATGGAGTGCTGGGCCCAAATTTTGTTTAGACCCAGACTTGATTTAAAAAAAAACTGAAAAAGGGAAATGGGCCATGTTCACTTGAAGATACTAATTCTGGGCCCAAACTGTATTAGCCCAGATCAGTGTCAAAAAAATTATTGTTTCTGTTAATTATGTTTTGGCCCCAAACTAGAATTACCTCCTATGTCCCATAATTTATCGTATTTACTTCGTGACCCTAATAGATTTCTGGAATTACATTTTAGTCCCTTAACTTTCAGAATAACATTTTGACCCAAATCTCCTCTAGAATTACCTATTTACCCTTGGACACCTTTCAAATTTTCACTTAAGTCTCAAATTTGTTCCTTAATTCTCAAAAGACCCAAGGACTTTGAAATTATTTTGTTTTGTCCTAAGGTCATAAAATTTATGACTTTGTAAATTATTGATAATGCTTAAGATCTTGTAACATTGATAATGGACATACCCCATAGGTGTAACATTATTGATGTGATTTTGATGGTTGGTTTTGAGGATAGGCTAATAGCACTCCTTTAATGTGTTAGATATTTGTTGCACCCTATAGATATGGAAATGTTTAATGCATTATTTTGTATGGACTTTTATATGAGCTAGATCTTTATGGTATGTGAGCCTTCTTGGTACATGATTATAGTTGCATAATTAATAATCGCTTGTTGGGAATTCTATTTTATAATTATGTTATGCACACATAATTAATATTTCCCATTTTCTGTTTTGCAATTTGAGTTTCTGCTTTTACGTAAGTATCCTTTGTGAAGGCTCTCAATGGGACTAACTATGATGATTAGAAAGAGTCCCTCAATATGTATCTGACCATTTCTGAGAAAAATTTAGCTCTGAGAGAACCCAAGCCTGCGGATCTCTCTTCTGAGTCCAGTGCTTCTAAATGGCCTTCCATAAATAATGGAGTGAGTCCAACCAGATCTGTCTAGCGATCATCAAGTACACAATTGAAAAGGGAATCAGGGATATTCCTGAAAAGGATACTGCAGTGGAATACTTGAAAGCTGTTGGTAACAAATACAAGAAGCTTGACAAGACTCAAAAGAACTACTATTTGTCACTTCTTGACAATATTCGATATGACAGAGTTTCTGGTGTCAGGGAACACATTTTGAAGCTTGTTCATTACTATAACAAGCTTAAATCATATAGAATTGACTTGGGTGAAAGTACCTTAGTTTACCGTGTTCTTCAATCACTGCCATCGGAGTATGCATTATTGAGGACTTCATATAACTCACAAGAAGCTGAATGGTCTATTGACTAGATGATATCAATAGTCACCCAAGAGGAAAAAGCTATAAAGAAGAATTCCTCTCACTTAGTAAACTATGTTTCTTATGGCTTTAGCAGTAAATCTGGAGGGTCATATAAGAAAAAAGGAGAAGAAGCATGAGGCCCCTAAGCCTAATAATCCAACTTTTAAAAAGGATGGTGATAAGAGTGAGAAGTCAAGAAAGAAACCCTTTAAGAGGTTATGCAATTATTGCAAGAAATCGGGTCACATTAAAGCTAATTGCTTTAAACTGAAGAACAAATAAGAAAGTGAAGGTACAATTCTTCAAACTGTCCCTCTAGCTCTAGTTTGTTTTGAATCTAACACCATTGAAACTCCCTTTGACTTATGGTGGCTGGATTCTGGTGCCACTGTACATGTTATGAATTCTCTACAAGGACTAAGAAACCAGAAGGTTCCAAGTGAGGCACAGAAGTTAGTCTTTGGTATAGCAGGGAGCAAGGCATCAGTTGAAAGCATTGGAATCATTTCTTTGTATTTAAATTTTGGTCATGTTTTACATTTGAACAATGTTGTTTATGTACCTTTTGTGAAAAGGAATTTAATTTCAACTTCTGCATTGGATATTCGTGGCTATTCATTCTTTCAAGGAAATGGGAAAATTGACATTTGTTTTGATTCCATTAATGTTGGTTTCGCTTTGTTGATATATGGTTTATATCGATTAAATGATTGGTCACTTGAACTTCCTAATCTCCATATTAATGCTGCCATTGGGCATAAATGACAAAGGCCTAATGATAATTCCTCCATGTTATGGTATTGTCGTTTGGATCACATCTCTAGAGAGAGATTGGAATGCATGGCCAAGCAAGGTGTCTTACAAGACCTTGATTTCTCAGATTTTGAGACTTGTGTTAACTGTATAAAGGGAAAATTCCCTGCTAGAGCTAAAATCAAAGGGGCAAAGAGATCTGAAAATACTTTAGACCTAATCTATACTGACATATGTGGACCTATCACACCTCCGGCTATGGGTGGTTTTAGATATTTCATCACCTTCACAGATGATTACTCTCGTCATGGATGGATTGAACTCTTGCGTGAAAAGGATGAGTATCTTAATGCATTCAAGACCTTTAAAGCAGCAGTCAAATTGAAATCTGGCAAGTTGATTAAATGTGTGAGATCTGACAGAGGAGGAGAATTTTATGGGAGATATACTGAGACTGACAGAAACCCTGGGCCATTTGCTTTATACCTTTAAGAGCATGGCATTGAAACTTAGTATACTATGCCTAGTACCCCGCAGCAGAATAGGGTTGTAGAAAGGAAAAATCGTACTCTCATAGATATGGTTAAAAGCATGACCATTCACTACTTATTGTCGAAATTCTAGTGGGGTGATGTACTTAAAATCGCTGTTTATATTTTGAACCAAGTTTCTAGCAAGTCAATTCTAAAGACTCCATACGAGTTGTATTTAGGAAGGACTCCTGTGCTGAAACATATGCGATTTGGGGTTGTAAAGTATAGGTAAAACCTTACAATCCACAATAGATGAAACTTGATGCTAAAACTATTGATGGTTTCTTTATTGTCTATTGCATCGAATCTCGTGGGTATAGATTCTATTGTCCAAATCACACTATTAGGGTAATTAAATTTGATCGAGCTTATTTCTTTGAAGATGCCTTAGACAGTGGGAGCTCTATGCCTATGCATATTACTTTACATGATGAAAGCAGTATTTTGCCTATACCTATCTTGACAACCCCTCATGTTAACAGAAATAATGCCATGGATCAGGATGAAGCTGAAGATGAACCACCTTTGGAGGGTGATGGGGATTTGGTTGTTGAACTAAGACAGTCCTAAAAGGTTCACAGGTCTGCTATTCCAGATGATTACATGGTGTATTTGCAGGAATTTGATTCAGATGCTATTGATAGTTTAGACCCAATATCTTACCAAGAGGCTATTTCTAACTCGCATTCTTCTAAATGGTTGGAGGCTATGAGTGAAGAAATCACCTCTATATATCGCAATCATATATGGGAGCTTGTAGAGCTACCAAAGGGTTTTAAACTAGTAGGCTACAAGTGGGTCTTTAAAACAAAATGAGGAGCTAGAGGTGAAATTGATAGATACAAAGCCAGACTTGTAGCTAAGGGCTACAATTAGAAAGAAGGTATTGATTACACAGAGACCTTCTCTTCGGTGTCCACCAAAGATGCTTTTAGAGTAGTAATGGTTTTAGTTGCACAATTTGATCTTGATCTTTACTAGATGGATGTCAAGACTACGTTCTTGAATGGCGATTTGTATGAAGAAGTCTACATGACACAACCTGATAGTTTTGTTTAATCTGGTAAAGAACATCTAGTGTGCAGATTGAAGAGATCCATCTATAGGCTAAAACAAGCCTCTAGGCAGTGGTATCTAAAGTTTGATGAAGTTATTACCTCACTCGGTTTTGTTGAGAATGTCTCATATCAGTGTATTTATCAGAAGTTTGATGGGAACAATTTTGCCATTCTTGTTCTCTATGTTAATGATATCTTCTTAGCCAGCAAATCAATGAATTTCCTCAATGAGATAAAACACCTATTGTCTTGCCATTTTGATATGAAGGACATGGGTAAAGCATCCTTCATTCTTAGGATACAGATTCATCGTGATAGATCTCGTGGTATTCTTGGTTTATCACAGACCACTTATATTGAGCAGGTACTTAAGAGATTCAGAATGGATTCATGTTTTCCCTCACCTACTCTTATTCAGAAAGGTAAGCTGTTGTCAGAGTTACATATCCCAAGGATGATAAGAAGAGGGCTGAAATGAGAAAGATACCATACGCTTTCACTGTTGGTAGCCTTATATATGTTCAAGAGTGTACTCGACCAGATATAGCCTTTGCCATTAGAGTGCTGGGTTGATACTTAAATGATCCAGGTCTGGATCATTGGAAGACTGCTAAGAAAGTTATGAGGTATCTTCAAGGTGCAAAGAATTACATGTTGACTTACAAAAGGTCAAATTCTCTTGAAGTTGTTGGGTATTCTGATTATGACTTTAAGGGATCAGAAGATCTTGAAATTGTTGGCTTTTCAGATTCAGATTTTGCCTCTTGTCTGGATGATCGTAAATCCACGACCGGCTATATTTTCTTGTTGTCTGAAGGAGCTGTCTCTTGGAAAAGTGTGAAACAGACACTTACAGCAGTTTCATCTATGGAAGCTGAGTCTATTGCTTGTTTTGACACTACACGTCACGCTATATGGTTGAGGAAGTTGATATCTAGCATACGCCTAGTTGAGTCAATATCACGTCCTCTAACCATTTACTATGATAACAAATCTGCAGTATACTATGCTAACAACCACATAAATTCTAGTCGTACAAAGCATTTTGATATCAAACTTATATTTGTGAAAGAGAAAATTGATGAGTCTCAATCTCGTGTGGTACACATTCCTGGCATGCAGATGCTTGCAGATCCGCTGACCAAGGGCTTACTTGTAGAAGTTTTTCAAAATCATGTAACTTATATGGGTATTATGAAATCCTTTGACGCCTGGTTTAGTGGGAGTTTGAGAACCTTTTGTGTTGCAATTTCTCTTTAGGCTTTATTTTTCTTCTGTGAGTTATGTTCAGTTCAGTTAGATGCATCAATATTATTTGTATCCTTATAAGATTCAATGATTCTGTTGTGGTACGCTATGCATATCACTTGTTTCCCCATAGGAATCAATGATTTATATTGTTATCTTACTGAGCTGTATTTGAAATAAAATTTTGTGTTTTATTCAAATTATGAGATATCATATCACTTGTTTCCCTATAGGATCCAATGATTTTATGGAGTTTCATTTTCTGAATCTTGTTTGTGGCTTATTTATACTACTTGCTTAATTAATGCAATCCAAGTAGGAGATTGTTAGACTATTTATTTATTTATGGATTAACATTAATTAATAAGCCTAAATAGATTAGTCTTTATAATCTTGTGTGGACCGTGATAGGTGGACCACACAAGTGAGCCCAATGGATAGAGGTCCAACCCACAGCTCAGTAGCTATCAATTATTTCCTATCTCTTAACTCACTGAGTCAGAGATAATGAAATATTTTTTATTTAATTATTAAAAAAGCAGTTACTGATCTGATTCTTATAAGTCGATCAGTTGATAACCACATAGACATGACTCATTCTCTACTACTCCATTATCTCTGCACTCTCTGAAGACTCTGGGGACCTGTGGGTTGTGCACCTGTCTACACTTGAGGTAATTGAGCCTTCTCAAGGGTTCATGGATTCTTCAGGTATGCATATATTACCTTACTTATTCATATGAATTGAGATATACAAAATTCAACAGGAAATTAATCTAATTAAGGTCAATTCAAATAATAAACTAAACGATTTGCAAAAGATAGGACATGTAACTATCTTCTTTTAGAAGCTAAGCAATGTTCTCACATTTGATATTTTAAATTCCTAGTTTGATTTTACATAACCCCCACTTAATTTGGATGTGATCTGAGCTGCCTTGTGTGTGTATTCTAAAATTTGGGAGAAATTCTAATATGAATACAACAATAAGTCTTATTTCACTAGGTGGGGTCTGCTATATAAATTACATGACACTATTGTGCTCCATCATTAACAAGCTTTAAAGAATATTATTAACTAAGAGGTTTCATTCAACAACTTTTATAAGTGTTCTCTTTGATTTTCACCTACCCGTCTTTATAGAACTTAAGATTATCTGTTTTACTCTCCACTTGAATGTTTCTCATGTTCTTCTCTGTACATATCCAAACATTTTTAAATAATTTTCTATCATTTTCCCTTAACAAATGCTACACCCACTTTTTTCATATATGTTCATTTTGAATTTTATCTTTTTATATATGCCCACATGTTCATATCAACATTCTCATATCTGCCATTCCAACTTTATGCCCCTTGCTATTTTTTTAAAGCCTAACATTCTAATATGAATATAATAGATAATCTTATTTATAATATACTTCATATAAAAAAATAGGCAATATAAAATTAGGGGTGCCCACGGGATGGGATGAGACCAGGACACCTTTGTCCTGTATACCATCCAAAAAAAAAAGATTGAGACTAAATTTTTGTCTTGTGTCCCATCCCATTAGGAATCAGGACAGGATGGGACACGAGACGTCCTGCCATCTCAATAAATTGGCCAATGCTGAAAATAGATCTGGATAATAACATTTATTAAAATTTTAAATCATATAATTTATTAAGTTTAAAATCAAAACAACACAAGTACATAAATCACAATAATTTAAAGTCAATTATTAAATTACATTGATCACAACTACGCATTATAATAGCAATTATAACTAATCTCTAGACTATAAGAGCAACAACAACATGCAAGCCAAGCACAACATCAAATCATTACTCTTCTACTTTAGTTAAGATGTGCTAAGCCAATTATTCTTTCAAAAATAAAGCAAGAAATATGATATAAATAAAATTTATTAAATAGATAAACATAAGAATAAATTGTATTAATATAATTAATATATTATAAAGAAAGATATCGCCCTGTTTACTTTATATCACTAAAATTATCAATATAAAAAACTTTATTTTTAAATAAGAATTGCATGTATTGAAATTATAATTGATATAATTAATACAAGTATAAATTATGTTAATATATTTAATGTATATTTTTAAAACAAAAATAATATGTATATATATAATATTCGGTATGAGAAGGATGTTCCGATAGTAATCTTGTGTCCCATCCTGCCTTAAAACCCTTTCCCATCTCGTCTTGCAAAATCTTATCTCTATTGTTTTTGGGTTGGGACGAGACCCATCCTGATTATATCGAGACGATATTGGGCCAATCGGGACAGGTACAAGTAGAACACCTTTATATAAAATAAGACCTATTCTACAAAATTTTCTTTTTATTAAATCACAAAATTCTCTCCTTTTCCTTTTTGCACAGTCAAATTTGTTCTCTTATAAATATTTTATTTTATTTTGATAATTGAGAACCACACATCAGCATTCAGTAGTTTCCTAGTCATCTGCTTGTATCTCACTTCATAGTCTGTCATGGTGGGTTTGTCCTCTTCTCTAATTCCTTGTATTTGAAATTCAAATATTGTATTACATTCAAAGTAATCATCACTTTCCTCTTCTAAATTTATGTCTCCTTCAGAACCCGACTTGCACTGCTTTAATGTTCTTCCATGCAGACCCGTTCAAATATACATAAACTTTTTGCAATCCTGAATTGCTGATATTTTAGATATAATTAATATTCATTTTATAAGAATTTTCTAATTTTGCCTAAAAAAATCGACTTTGCCCTTCTAAAACACAACACTCTAATTTAGATCTGTATTTTCCTTTGTTTTCCTCCAATATTGCTTCTGTTTGGCTCCTTTAATATTTTAAAACCTTAAATACAAATTTTTTAAAAATATTATTTTTTTATATTGATTATAAAAGTAAATTTTAGAAAAAAATTTAAAAAAAATAAAATGTTTCTTGGAAGTCCTTATCATAAATATTGTTTATTCTTATTTTGTGGATAAATGTTTTTAATTTTAATCATGCTCTTAATTATGGAATTTAAGAAAACACTAGTAAAATAATTTGAAATATGACTTTTTAATAGATGATTTCGTTATCTGTATCCATTAGTAGATTTTCATATATCATTATATAAAAGATTACCAATAAATTTTATTCAGATAAAAATAAAAATATGATTTTAATAACTGAGACATATTTATAAATTATCAAATATACTTTTTTACGTTAAATCATTCAAGTTTATTTTAATAAGTTTATATTTCAGAAATTTTTAATTATGATTATTTTTTAATTTTGTAAAATCAATTATTATTTTATTTATTCATGTCCAACTTATTATTATTTTTTATAACGCTAATGCACAGAATAAGATACCATTCATGACCCAAGAAAAAGTACGATAACATTTGTTCTTATTCAAGAAATAGGTAGGAAAAATGCAAAAAAGTATTGTAACATTTGTTGTTATTCAAGAAAAAAGATAGGAAAAATGCAAGTTCAGTTCTACAAAAGTTAAGGAACACTTAATGATTGCAAATAGTACATTTAAATTTTAAATGAAACCTCAATTTACAATTAAGATTTCTTTTTGCAACTATTTGAATTAATATTTACAATTCATTTTTTAAAAAAATTTATTGAGAACTTAACTGTCACTAATTTTATCTTTCAAAACTTTTGTCATTCTCCAAAAAAAAAAATATTTAGAACATTGGTACCGCCTCTGAAGGAGTCCGGTCTTATTTATAAGGAAGTGATAGAGATTTTTTTGGCCATATTGATAAGTCATGCCATTAAATTTTCTTCACAAGTTTTTCCTTTTACCTCCTATTAAATATTGATGAGAAGAAATACGTTATTAAAGTATATATGCAGTGAAAATGGTGCAGTGGTTGGGAAGTAGGAAATCCTCATTGTGCATTTTATCTAATGGTCGAGGAAAGAGACGTGCATAAAAAAGTTATTTATAAAATTAATTTTTTTAATAAATCTGTTTTATACCTAATCTAGAGATATTAATTTAATTTGGATTGTCCAAATTTAATAAATTTGTTTTATTACTACTCTCTAACATTTATAATTTTTTTAAAATTTTTTTCTGAAAAGTATCAATTAGGACATTATTTTTATTTTTAATATTAAATCTGGACAATCCAAAATCCATCTAGGTAATTAATTTATAAAAATTAAAAAATATTTAATATTTAATTGGACCATTCAGATTAAATCTATACTGTCTAGATTGGTAATTAGCGAATTCATTTAAAATATTTATTTTTATGATCTATATAATTTTTATAAATTATAAAAAAATTAATGAACTTGATTGTGTGATTTGCATATGAGAAACTATTTTATGCACCTCTCTTTTTCCGACAATTGAATAAAATGCAAGGTGAGGATTGCCCCGCTTCCCAATCACTGCACCATTTTCTGTATGTATAATCCGTCCCCACATTTAATATGGACAAAATTAAAAGCTTATTAAATTTTTAGACTTAATAAGTTTCAAAATTTTCTTTACTTCCCATAAAATACATGAGAAACGACTTACTATAGAATACAAACACAAGAGGAGGGAGTATGATGTTAGCTATGTTTAAGTTCAAAAAAGGGAACTAGAATAGTCGTTGATGACTTGACACATAATTCTGCTCCTCAAGAACGGCACCATGACATTTTACGGACATGAAATTCAAATACAGTGTTTTCTGTTCATTTGCGTGTATCTCACTTCGTAGATTTTTGGATTATTCTTGTAGTCTCCCTTGACTTGTTCCATTCAAAATACGGTGTTTGAATCCATCGATTAGTCTTTCCATCCTCCACTCATAGATTAGTGAAGTTTTCGTGATAACTTCATTTTCAGTATTTTTTTTCCTTCCAAGTGGACCCCATTTCTCAGTATATTTCAGTAGACACGCAACATAAAGTGATTCACAAAGCATCTATAAAATGATGACTTGATCATGGCAAAATCCATCATCAGCTACAGTTTGTTTCCCATATTTGTCTCCAAAGAATATTCCAATGAGAAATAACTACTCATGGATTTTCTCGATATTGTTCTTCCACTTCATAAACTTGATCAGTTTCAATATCTTTCAAGTGACTGGTCATTGCCTTATCGGCCATCAAGAATCTGCCTTGCTTCATTTGAAGAATAGTCTCACTTTCAACCCTGCCAACTCCCAAAAATTGGTTCATTGGAACCAAAGTGACGATTGTTGTCGATGGAATGGAGTAACATGCAACAAGAAGGGATTTGTTATAGTTTTGGACCTGAGTGAAGAATCTACCTCTGGGGGAGTTGATAATGCTAGCGGTCTCTTCAACTTACGGCATCTACAAGACTTGAACTTGGCTTACAATGACTTCCATTCATCGATTCCTTTGGAGTTTCACAAATTGAAGAACTTGAGGCATCTAAATTTGTCAAATGCTGGCTTTGAGGGTCAGATTCCGATTGCAGTCTCTCAATTAACAAATCTAGTTTCTCTGGATCTGTCATCCAACAACTTCACAGGCGGTCTTCCATATTTCAACATGTCCAAGAACCTCGAGTATCTATCTGTTTCTCTTAATCACTTGACAGGTGAAATTTTATCATCTCATTTTGAAAGTCTTGACAAACTCATCACCATTGATTTAGTGGGAAATTCCTTTTACAGAAGAGTTCCTTCATGTCTCTTTGCACTTCCATCTCTGAAAGAACTTATGCTTTCTCATAATAGATTTGAGGGTGTATTGGGTGAATTCCCAAATGCATCATTCTCCTCATTAGAGATCCTTGATGTTAGTGGGAATAATCTAGAAGGGCCTATTCCCTTGTCCATCTTTCAATTTAGAAGGCTTAGTTTTCTCCAACTTTCCTCAAATAAGTTTAATGGCACTATGTATTTGGATGCTGTGAGAAAGATGGAACATTTGGTCACACTAGGCCTTAATCACAACAACCTGTCAGTTGATACAACTTTGAGGGATAACTCTGATGACTTGTTAACATTTCCCATGTTGAATATGCTCATGTTAGCTTCTTGCAAGTTGAAAGAATTCCCAATCTTTCTAAGAAATCAATCCAATTTAATCTACCTTGACCTATCTAGCAACCAGATTCAAGGTAGTATACCCAATTGGATTTGGAGGTTTGATTTTATGGTATTCCTAAATCTTTCAAACAATTTTTTGACTGATTTGGAAGGGCCTTTTCAAAATATTAGCACCAATCTGTTTACAATTGACCTTCATTCCAACCAACTTCAAGGCCCCACTCCCATTTTTTCAAAAAATGTGATGTTCTTGGATTTCTCAAGCAATAGATTTAGCTATTTAGCCCCATTTGACATTGATAACAAACTTCAGTTTGCATTTTTCCTCTCTCTTTCAAACAATAGATTTCATGGCAAAATTCCAGAATCTTTTTGTACAATTTCAAATCTCCGATTTCTTGATCTTTCTGATAATAGCTTCAATGATACCATTCCTGAGTGTTTGATAAGAATGATCACTAGCACTCTTAAAGTATTAAATCTTGCAAGGAACAAACTCGAAGGGAAAATTTTGGATACATTTTCAACTTCCTGTGCTTTAAGGTTCCTTGATCTGAATGAAAACTTCTTAGGAGGTGTTATCCCAAAATCTTTGGCCAATTGTCAAAATTACAAGTGTTGAACCTTGGAAGCAATCAATTAATTGATAGATTTCCTTGCTTCTTAAAGAACATATCCACCTTAAAAGTCATGATTTTAAGATCAAACAATTTCTATGGCCCACTTGCATGCTCATATAGCACTGGAAATTGGGGCACTCTTCAAATTGTTGATCTAGCCTCCAATAAGTTTAGTGGTACCCTACCAAGATCACTCTTGCAAAGTTGGATAGCTCTCATGCTCGATGGTGAAGCTACTTCACAATTTGGCCATTTGTTTTTCGACATCAATGATGGCATTAACCCGTTGGGTTTTTGGAGTCAATTGCACTTCCTTTTGAAAAAAGATCTTGCACTAAAACTAGCCAAAATACTGGAAGTAATGCCACCTTTTGCGATTGATCACATATTTTATGATGTCTATCTTGTTGATTTTGGAGGTACGAGTTACCAAGATTCAGTAACAATTGTCAACAAAGGGAGACAAACGAAGTTGGTAAGATTTTTTTTGACTTCACTTCTTTGGATTTCTCATCCAACCATCTGGAAGGGCCAATACCGAAAGAGCTTATGAGTTTCAAAGCACTTCATGCTCTTAATTTGTCACTGAATGCCTTTTCGGGCTATATCCCTTCATCCATAGGGAATCTGAAGTATCTTGAGTCTTTGGATTTGTCAGCAAACTCTTTCAGTGGGAATATTCCAACAGAACTAGCAAGCTTATCTTTCCTTGAAGTTCTAAACCTTTCCGTCAATCACTTGACAGGACCAATCCCAACTGGTACCCAAATCCAGTCATTTGATGCAGATTCATTTGAAGGTAATGAAGGACTATGTGGACCTCCATTGACACATAATTGCAATTCTGGTGTAGGCCCAACATTGTCACCGCCATCATCTGAAACATCTATGTTGAATTCTAGAAGTTCTATTGATTGGAATTTCTTAAGTGCTGAATTGGGATTTATTTTTGGTCTTGGAATTGTGATCTTACCCCTCAGTTTTTGGAAGCAGTGGAGGCTAAAATACTTCAAACATGTGGACTCAATCCTTTGGAAGATCATACCTCAGCTTGATTTTGCATATGAAAACCATGGGGGGAGAATTTACAGAAGTTTAAGGTGGAAACCTTTCTAAACTCACTGAGAACAAAACCAGAGTGCAATTTCTCTTATTTGGTTTTCTTTTTTTTAGTTAGAGTATGTGATACTTATCCTGAAGCATATAGGTGTATTGTATTGGTTAAAAGCAAAATGTGACAATGTAATAAATGCATGGATGTGACCTTCAAGGACATTATCTCATGTTGGGCTAGTTTAATTATAAAAAGAGGGGAAAGTGATACTTTAGTCTCTTCACACTTTTGTCCATGAAAATTTTAAAATGATATTTAAGGTATAAGGGCTTCGTTAAAGTGTAAGAAAATGCAATTGATGAAAATGTTGTTAGATGATCAATAATTTCATATATTATAAATATTGCAATTTTCATGGTATAATGCCCATCCAAAAAGTGGTAAGACAAGGAAATTGAGATGCCTGTAACGATAAGGAACAATTGCTAAAAAAAGATCAAGTGGTGAAGATATTTAGTAAAAAGAACCTGGAATTTTCCCATCTGATCTGCAAGTGACATTTAAGTTTCAGCATGTAATCATCCCATTTGGCCATTTTTGCTATTTTTTCTTCCAATAACATTTAAGTTTCTTCATAAAAAAATAATCTGCAACTAGTCTTTTATGATTTCTATTTTAACATGATATTTAAGACCGAACCAGTGAATTGGCAAAGCGGCCAAGTAATTGGTTTGGAGAAATAGCAAAAATCTGTTGAAAAACTGAGTTGAAAACGGAGGAGGAGGAAGAAGTTGCATGTGAAAAACAAGTTTGCTTTTAAAAACCTAAAGAAATAAGACAAAAGAAAAGGAACAACGAAGAAGAAGAAGATCAGAGAAAAATACAAGGCTCATTTCCTTGCTTGAAAAGAATATGAAGTGGATTGAAAAAATAAAAATAAAAATACAATGAACAAAATGTGGAGAAACTATAATTACAAGAGGGAGGGTAATTTAATTTATGAAGTTGGGAGTCATGATTATTGAGATTTGTAAAAGGTGTGATGATTTCTACATTTAAAATATATTCAATTTTTTTATGTTTACCATGCGGGATTGAATAATTGAGTTCATTTTTATTCTTGTTTTTTTAGCCCATCCCATTCATATCATTTCAAGCAACCAAGTGACTCCTAAATGATTTGTATATTTAAAAAACAATAAATTTATAGTAAATGATAGCTTCAAGTTCAATCATTCAAAAATCTCATCATTAAACCTTGCAAGAGCGTGTCGTTTAGGAATTTGTGTTGGTGAATAATTTCATATGAGTAGAGAAGTACTCATCTTTACTTCATATGTAAATAAAGTTTTAATTTATTCATTATATTACATTAGGCAACAAGCCAGCTAGATAACCCGGCCCTTTATTTAATTCAGCTGCTTTCTTCATTTCCTTCTACGATCCGTCACCGTTGCTCTGTGATTATAGCTCGACTGCTTCCTCCAGTTCCCAGATTGATGACACAAATCTGCGGGGAAAACAAATCAAATTAAGGTTCCGTTTAGTTGCTAGAAAGGATGAGAATATAATAGATTAAGAAAATTAGAACAAAAATGAACTAAAACACTATTTTCTTTTTATTGTAAGCATGCTAAAACTCAACAAAATGTGAGAATCATCACAACTTTCAAGAACCTCATAAATCATGACTTTCAACCCTTGAACTAAATTACCCTTCTCTCCTATGAATATAGTTAACCTATCCACTTTCACATTTTAATTATCTTATTTTTATTTTTATGTTTTCAATTTGTTCCATTCTCTTCTTTTTTAACAACAAAATGAGACCTAAGTGACATGAGGAACAATCTCTCCCTCTCTCTCTCTCCCCCTCACTCCCTCATACACACAAAAAATTATTAACGTAATTAATTTTGAATATAATTGATTATGTTACGTGGTATAATTTTGTAATGACCCTAAATTTTAATTTTTAAAAAAAATTTCTAATATTTTAATAAGTTTTATAGCAATTAAAAAGTGGTAGTTTATAGGAGATTATGCTAGAAACTTTTGCAGGGATCTAGAGTCTAAGCTGAAGTTTGGTTTTAAATCATAGAAAAATTTTGTGTTCTTTTTTGTAATTTTCTTGTGCCTTTTATTGTAATTTTTGTGTGCTCTTTTTGTACTTTTCCCATTTCTTCTTTTGCTTTGAATCAGCTCATTTACGCAAATAAAAACAGAGCATCTCGATCACTCTTTCTCACCACCATTCTACACTTCTTTAGAGCCTCACATAGTCGGTTCCTCTCTCTAACCCTTGCCTACATCCTTACTTGGTTGCTGGCTGAGAGTTTTAGTGTGGCTGTTGCTTCATTTGCTGTCACCATCATCACTGTCGGCCTCATCGTTCCCCTGCCAGCCACTATGAGTTGGATTGCTAATATTTTCCACTGTTATCGTGCTATTCTGTGTCACCGAGAGTCTATCACTACGTTGCCAGCGTTGCTGTCACCTTTTTCCTCTCCTTTATCTTCGTTTATCTATCATGGTGGAAGAGGAAGATACGGTTCTGTCGTTCTTCTCCATTACAGGGATGCTGGTACTGAGTTGAAGCACTAACACTCTTCTTTGTTTGGTTTGAGATCTCGATGCATAGTAGCTATCATTACACTTTGACAGAGATTAATTTTGGAGCACCATTGGAATAAGCAAGAAGTTGTGAGAATGGACCGTCAGATTTTAAAAACTCAAGTAAGTGGATAGCGTTCCAGCTGATTTTTTAATAAAGATTTCCTTTACTACAATAGTACATTTGTTTGCAAAATTGTTTTAGTAACAACGATGTGGTTATTGAATAGTTTGTTTATTAAACTTCTTTATTTTGTAAATTACCTTTATCAGTTTTGAAATTTTAATTATTAATAAATATAAGTTTGGACTTTGAATATGAGATTTCATTCTATCAAACATTGAATTGATACAGAGAATGATTCATGCGAGTTTGACTTTGAAAACGAAAATTTTATTGTGAAAGTGATGATTTTCTTACATGTTTGAAAATGGATTTAAAGGGAACTTTATATAGAATACTGGTTGCTAACGGCAGTTTCGTTAGCCCTTGACGCGCCATGGTACACCTAGCTAGTAGGGTGTTTATAGGAGGTGCTAGCCTCGTGCGATGGCCAATGCACGTGGAACGGAGGGATGATTATTCGTGAGCATCGTACTCACGTTTGTTTCCTAGCTTCGGCCGCGTGTGGTTACTTACCCTCGTAGACTGTGTGTCCACGTTTGTTTTTGTGGCATAAACCGCGTTTGGTTATTTACTCTCGTGGACTGTGTGTCCACATTTGTTAATTGTTCTAATAAGTCCCTATAATCATGAATCCAAATATTTGATGATTTTATATTCCATTGATGTTATTCAATAATTTGTTTATAAATATTTATTTTATTTATGTGCTTTCTTTAAATCAAGTGATATTATCATTTGCTATGATAGTTTAATGATTTGAGATTTTATTTGAAAGTTATAGAGCCATTTTATTATGAAGTTTATTAAATTTTTTATGAAAATTTTATCTATTTAACTTACATAACTATTTCAAATTTTTCACTTTGTTTATGTTCTATTATTTATTGTTAGGACGTTATTCATTGAAAAATTATTTTGGTCTCAGATACCTTAGCTGCCGTTGATCTTTCTGCCAATCCTTGAGCACTTATAGACAGGTGGAGGGTTGATTGAAATTTTTCTTTTAATGTAATTATAAATGTTTACATATCTTATTTTTATTTTATTTTTGAAAAGTACAATTAGGTGCTCCACATAAGCTATAACTAGGACTTTTATTTTTATATATATGCTGTCTGTCGGTTGGAAGGAGCTAAGCTCGTGATTTATTTAATATTTTGACTGCATCAAAATATTGTAGAAATTTTGAGAAATTCTATTTACAAGGGGGGTTTTGTCGAAATTTTTATGAACATGTTGAAACTTTGTTATAATTATTAGTGTCAAAAGTGTTATAATTTCAATATAAATTTGATTTAATTTTAAAAATAGAGTGAATTTACAATTTAAGGCTTACAAGGATGTGTGAAACGGTTCACATCCCGTGCCGGTCGCTCTCCAAATTTTGGGGCGTGACAAATTTATTTATAAAATAGAATTGAAAATCAAGTCATTAAAATCATAGTTTTATAAAAATATATTCAAATACTATATATTACATGTCAAAATTAATTATAAAAAATATCCCAATACCCCTAAGGTTTGTTTGGATATCCATTGGCGATTATAAAAAATTTGATTAATATGACTGATTATGTCATGTAGTATTGTGAAAATTATAGTTTTGAGAAAATATATCCGAACATTAGAGAAAGGATTTATAGATTGAACTTACCTTGGCGGAGGTGGTGGAGAAGGTGGTGATGGTAGTGAGGCAAAGATGAAAGGAGTAGCAATACAAGTAGCGCTTGCCTTTGTGCGATCTTGTAAATTGATTCCAGCTTCGATAACACATATGCGAATCTCAAAGAGTTGTAGTTTACCAAACTTGTCTTTCTTGCATGTTATGGCTACCTTTTTTATTATGGCTTCCTCAATCACCTTCAGTACTTTATCTGCCTCGTATGTCGTCGTTCCATTAGGAAGGATATCTATGTATGCATCAAGCCCAATATTTTTATCAAATTGGCTATTGGCAATGTCCAAGATTGGCCTTTGGAAAAATGACAATTAAAGAACCCATAAGGATATTAATGACAATTATAGACCTTCAATTATTGAAATCCCAACAATAAACCATAGTTCTTATACTTACAAATTAAAAATGCGAATAGTTTATTAAAAATCTACGAAATATACTTGTAACAGAACGATGAGTTGTATATATGCCTTTGTTCTATAACCAAGTTTCCCATACTTCAAAATAATCAAAATTTAGACGACCTGGCGGCGGCGGCGGAGGAGATGTTGAGGGTGGTGTGGGGTAAGGAGTTGCAAGGCAAACTGGTGAAAGAGAAGGCGGCGGAGGTAAAGGTAGTGGGGTTCCGGGAGGAGGTAGTGGGCTTATAGGTGTAGCAATCCTTTTTGGGTCATCAATTACACTACGGCATGAGCAACAGACCCATGCAATAAACAATGCAAGAAGAAAGAAGTCATGTTTCGGTTTCACAGTGCTCATGTTGGTATTGTTTTAATTAGTTGAGCAATGTAGTTGGGCTTTTATAGCCACT